ATGAGGACGGTGAGCTGGAGTCCCCCCAGGACAACTTCACCGAGGACTCCGGAGAGTGCTCATCCTCCTACACCGAGCACCCCGTCAAGGTGGAGTGCCCGCCCTTCGCCATCCCTGTGCCGCCTGCCGATGGTGAGTGCTCGCCCCAGCTCAGGCGCCCACCCGCTGGCAGGGGTTTCCCTTCCTTTCTCTCCCATGCATGTGACCATAGAGGACACCCCCCCCCCAAGGGTTCTTCTATATACACACATGTGCACAGACTAGCAGAGGTTCCCCTACACACAGGCAGGGGTGTCCCCCCCACACACGTGGGATTCCCCCCCTCTTTATGGGCACAGGGGCTCATAACAGTAGAGAGAATCCCCCTGTACATATCATTAAGGAGATCTCTTCCTGCACCCCTCCTTTCCCCACACACAGGGACCAGCAGGGGTTCCCCTACTTTCACACACAGGGGGGTCTCCCTCCTTTCTTTGTAGAGATGCCCGCTCATACTGATAGGAAGAATCCCCTTGCACACATCATTAAGGAGGTATCTTCCCTTCCCCCCTCCCACATACATGCACACTGCTAAGAGGATTTCTCTTCCTCTTGTGTACACAAACACACACCCCCATCCCTTTCCTGCACAGTCCCACTCCTGGCTCCTCTATCACTGAATTTCTGATTGCTCCTATGTTGTCCCCCTTCTCTGTCACCCCAGCTTTGCCCAGGGAAACTGGATTCAACTTCTGTCTCCAAGCCCTTCTTCCATTATCTTACGCTGTCCTGTGTCAGGTTGCTCTCATTTATTATCTCTCCTCCCTCTTTTTTTTTTTAATACCCTTCTTGCTTCCCCCCCCACCCAGCCCAGTCCATTACCTCTTTTTATCCCTCCTAGGAGTGGAGAAACCAAAAGGCTTTAGTTTATGAGAATCTCTAAAATGATTGCACTATTTGGGGTGGGGGAGATAGGAGTAAAAATTTTTCATCTATCTGTTAAGGATGGGAAACAAATCAAGAAACTAATGTGCGGATAAGATATGAGAGTTGGGTGTCAAACTGCTGTGAATAAAAACAGAATCCTCTTCCTAATCCCTGTGTGTGTGAACTACGTTTCAGATGATATACAGCTTTCTAATCACTGTGCAAGAATTATTTTTCAATGGCTTGCTTTGCTAGCTAGATCAGTCTTCTGTTTTGCCTTCCTGTTGCCATAGCTTGGGCAGAAAGTTAGGTGGGCTTTTACAAGAGCAGTTAAACTGTTAATAGTTTTAGTTGTTTTAAAAGTATCCCTTCCAATTTAATAGAGTTGCAGACAAAACCCCTCAAATAGTCTGTCCCCCTTTCCCGCTGCTGTTTGCGCTCGGCACTGTGTTTTTTAAGTCTAGACATAGCTGTGTTTTTAATCCAACCCCTGAACCTGTCTTCAGAAATTGACATCACATGGAAACGGCCAATTGGCTCGCTAGCTCTGACCGACCTTCTTTTTACACACAAATCCCTTCAAAGGGTTGTTTACCCTAACATCCTTTTGAAATGCAAATCTGGAGTGCCAGCAAACTCAATTTAGATTAATATAATTACCTGCAATACACAAATGAGGCTATACTCTTTAATAGCCTTTACTTGCATCTTTTTTAAAAGATCAAAAAGACTCCTATTGTTAAAGTTTAGTACTACAGCAATTAAGAGATGCCTCTATGTGATCACGCCACTTTTATAACTTTTTGGTTAAGCGTGTGCGTACCCCTTCTTTCTTTTGTCAATCTAAAAATGATCAGAGACAATCATGCTTCATATTGAAACTGAATAATGTCTTGATGTGGTATTTTAGGGAAAGCAATTTTACTGCTTGCTCTTTTTTGTATTTCTGAAAGATGGAAAATAACACTGTCTGTTTTGTTTTAGGCTTTAAGGAAATCAATACACAAACCAGTACAGCGCCACTAAGTCAGCCCAAAAGATCAAAAAAACGCCACGCAAATTTAACACTGGATAAGATGATGGAAAAATTTCTGCAGCAAAGCGTGGATACAGAAGAGAAATTTTACAAATACGAAGAGCAGCGGTTGAAAATTGAGGACAAGCGCCGTGAAGCTGAGCATGCTCGTGAGCTTCAGATGTTACAAATGTTGGGACAGATGTTGGCAGGAATTTCTTCTACAGTATCACAGAGGTCTCAGTCTATACCAGCTAGCCCACCTCAGAGAGCAAATCATCGCTCATATGGAGATAACTTTAATTATAATGCTATGACAGCCACACTTTCTCCGCCGATAGGTACTTAATTCTATCGCCTAAATAAGATCTAACATTATTTTTAAAGAATATGTGTAACCACTGGTAGTAGCTTCTGAAAATAAATGGATAGTTGGAGTTTTGTGATGTTGTGGTGATGGTTTTTCATCTAATGTAAAATGAATGAAAATTTCATGCATGTCATTGTACTGCTTTTTTTTACCAAATAGATATAGATTTATAAGTATATAGATATATGCTAGCTATAAAAAAAAAAAAAAAAATAATGATGACCAAAGTAACAACTTTTCAAAAGTATCCCATAAGCACCAGTGAGTTCAAGTCATATTCACATCTCTGTAGAATGCATTTAGGAAAAGTTTTACCTAGATGTGGTATGGAGTTTAATCTCTGAAAATTGGCAGTTGAATGAAATAATAGAGCACTTAAAGTACATTTAAACTTTTTATTTTTTTTAACTGAGATGTGTTTGGTGTCATTCTAGTTGAAAATATGTACTTGGAAGCACCCTAGAGAAACAATGCATGCTGACGTTTTTAATGAGGTATATATTAAAAGGTCTGTCAACCTTGAAAGCTTAAACCTATATGATGTACCAAGTTTGTAGGACCTCAGGTCACGAAGAACCAGGGTTTTTTGCTTTGTTTTTAAAACAATCTAATACAGTTTAAAAACAGTGAGATAGTCCAAAAAATATAATGTAGGTATGTGGCAGAAATCCAATTCTGTAAGCCAGTTTCTGGCTCTTGAGAGGCTTCTAGGAACTTGGACTGTATAGATACTGCAAGCAGCCAGGTAAATAACAGGCCCAGTCCTACATTTATCTTCAAACTACCCTTTAACATTAGTGGAGTTCTGATTACACAAGGAATGAATACTCAGGCTCGTAGTAAAATAAGTTAACGCTTCCTTATCATACTGATTAGATAGCTGATCTGCTGTGTTATAAATCCTTAATGTCAGAAATCTAGTTTAATGTGTAAATGATGGTATATCTACTGGTTCTGTTTCTTTAAAATAAGTATTTGATTGAAATGTATTAGGAAACAGAATACAGAAAACTTCCTAGAGTACTAAATCATGAACACAGTACATACTCAGCTGTACCATTGCTTCTAAAATGCATTTGCTTTTAAGCTGAAGGACTTCCTATTAGTTTCACAGACCTGGCACCAGGATCCTGTTTCTTCTAATATGTTTGAAGATACAGGTGTGTAGTTGCGATTTTTATGTTGCAGAAAGATAAACTGAGACTTCTAACTTCTAATCGTGAAAGGCTTAAAAGAAAAAAATGTAATAAAGTATATTTTAAAAGAAATATTTCAGACATTGCATCTGTTTTTAAGGATTTGGGACCTCAGTTGTTTGTGTCTAAAGTTGCGCTGAAATGTTGAGAGACAATCAAATCCAATCAAGAATTCCTTTCCTGACTAGTTAATTGCACTGTCCTTTCTTTCTGTTCTAAGACATGTTATTTGTCTTTTAAAACAAAGGAAAGTGGTGGGGTTTTTTCAGCAGCCATGACACTTTGAGGGTTGTGATGTGTGTGAGATATGCATATTTCTTGTAGACGTTATGGTAGAAAACTGGGAAGTGCATAAAGTGTGGAGTGATTTGAAGGAAAAATCTGTCTTATTTCTAGAGGAGAGATGAGTGCTTTGTTATACTCTGGATCACTGCAATGCTATTTTGGCCATGCTCCAAGAGGGCTACTTTTTGATCTCAGTGAGAGAGGAATGCCTGTATTATAGAAGGATTTCCAAAGCAGGAGATCAGCTAGAAGTATTTATCATTATTGAACACTAAAGCATTTTTTTGCTAAAGATTAGCTAGCCTGGTTTTAGAATACAATTCTGTAGAGGTCGGAGAAAAAGTGTGGGTTTTTTTTGCTGACAGAACATAATAGAACCTAAATTAGGAATATTCCTGTTGGTTACCAGAATTTTTTTTCCCATGTTGGGTCTCAGATATTTTAAAATAGTTCTTGGTTTTGCTACTTGTGGACTTGGGATAGGAAGGGAAAATGCCAAGTGTGATTTTGCACAGATGAAGCAAGAGCATTTTATTGTCTTTTTGATCATTCTGCATTATCCTTTTAAAGATCTATAAAAGGATACTACTAAGGACATAGTGTCTTCAGCAGTCAAATTGTGGAATTTAAATGTATGTGTGTTTTTCCAATCAGAATTGTAAAATTGAACTTTAGTGAGAAATTTTGTAAAAGAATGCAGCAATAAGGATTTGTAAATTAATCCTTGTGACCTAACCTTTATATGTTTACTGCATTCTTTTAGTTAATATATTGTTAAATTTTGTCTTTGTACTGCCCTTTAAATAGGACAAATGTATATTTGCGTAAACTTTCTGCTTACTTTATTCTTGTTACTATCTGAATATTTCTTTTCTAAAAAGTCTTATATAGTTGGGACAGTAATTGAATACTCAGCTCTTTCAGTCTTCAGTTATTCTAACATATGGCTTAAAATGTAAATGATGTAAGTGAGGGATTTGAGAGGCCAAATTATTATTAAAAATAATATTTTGCATGACTAAATGCTTTTCACATAACCCTCCTTAGAGCTCATTACCTTCTGTAACCATCTACCAAAATAAAAAACACTGCTTAGGCCCTGATTCTGCGAAGACCTTCTGCAAAGACAAAGAAAGAAAATCTTTCAAAGGTTAGCAAGTTAAGGTGGACACTTTTATTCTGTACCAAAAGTTTCTGTATGATTTACTTAGTCCACTTCCAAAGTGGATTGGACAAATGTTCTTACATGTTTGAGGCCTTTGAAATTAGGACATAAATCTGTATCTTGTTAGAGTATGGCAAAAGCAATATTCAGTTTCTTAGAAAAAGAACTGTTTCTATGTTGTAAATGCTTCTGATTTAGAATGCTAATGTTTCTGAATGTGAAGAAAAGCTGCTGACACTTCTATCAATTATAAAAGAAACATTTTCTTTAATAATTATTTAAATTTCTTTCTTTTTCAGTTATAGAGAGATCCTTCTCGTTACACAAAACACATTCTATAAAGGATATGGAGAATATTTTTCAGTTGGTGCGCAATGTAATCCCTCCTCTAGCAGGAAAGAAGCATAAGGGTCAAGATGGACGTATAGGCATCATTGGAGGATGTCAAGAGTAAGTTAAACAGAACGGGTTAGTTCTGGGATCTCAGGTACTTGGTTCACAACTCCTAAAAAACATTTCAGTTCACCTTCATATTGGAGACATTTTTATGGAGCTATTAAACCAGAGTTTCTAAAGTAGGCTTTGCCAGTCCATTATCATCATTAGGTATGCTTACCAAAGAATACACATTGCTCTAAGGCAGCAGTGCAAGGCTTTGGCCATTCTTGTAGTTGAAATTCAGTCATTTGAGTCTAATATCTGTCCACCTCCTCTCTTCCTTCCACCCTGAATCCCTTCATTTTCAGCATCAATTACCTTTTATGTTGCATGACTGAAGCTTCTTGGATAAGTAGGGAGAAAAGAATAACAAAGTGAAACATCTGCTGTAAGATGATCCTAGTTAGACACAAAACTCCCGACTGTTTCTGGATTTAGGAACTACCTCTTGGCTACCTGGTCAGAGTTCCTAGTTTGGAGATAGGTGACCTTCTGAGACTGTTCCTTATTATTTACCTGCTCAACATGTAGCACATGCCATCAGTAATGTCACTGCATTGCAGGGAACTCAAAACATCCTGGTTAGTTGAATAGGATACTGAACCAGAGTTCCAGTTCAGGCTCTCTGCCAGTGATCTCCTGTGATACTCCTGGGTCATTTCATTTCATTGAGTATCAGCTTCTCCATTTGTAACGGAGCTGGAACTTTCTGTTGTAAAATGCCTGGAGATATTTTTACATATATTCATACATACCATAACTAGCTAAAGCTATTATTATGGAAAAGGTTTCCTGACTGGATTACCCGTAGTTTTGTAACTCGCATTTCTTGGTCTACTAGAGCAAAAATTTGTCCTGCATTCATGTTGCAAGGCCCTATATTAGTACCTATATGCTTTTTCTGAGTCAGTTATCTGAGAGGATTGAGGCTCTTATGTGTGCAAGTGCTTTGAATTGACTCTCTCTCTGTGGTGTAATCCTTTTAAACAACTCTAGCATGAGAGCAGACTCATGGCCTTACTGAATTCGCTTGGAGATTTGCTATTGACTTTACTATCCTTAGTAAATACATAAAAATAGCAATAGTAGTGAACTTTGATTTTTGAATTTGAGTTTTCTCTGTGAGAGGATGAATGATTACCAGCCTGTTGATGCACCATGCAAATCTTTTCCTAACCTAGTGTATGTTTCATTTGTAGGTACACAGGAGCTCCGTATTTTGCTGCAATTACAGCTCTCAAAGTGGTATGTATTTTCCTACCTTCATACATAGGCCATTTACATAGATCTGTGTAAATTAAGTGGCATTTACTCTGAGTGAGAGTTTAATGTTACTAGAACTGCTACTTTTCAAACCCTTTTTTTTTTTTTTTTTTTTAAACAATTGCCTTTCTGCTACGCTCTTGTTCCTATTCCTAGAAATATCATTTTTAACATTGTATTTAAAATGCATTATATTTTCAGTAAATTCTTTGTTTAATCTGGAGGTGACAGAAATCTTCAGCTGAGCTACTCTTTGGAAGTATAAGTGCATACATCCTTCATAAGACATTAAGGCCCCAAACCTGGTGTTTGTTACTAGTGGGTAGACTGCTGTGTCCAAGTAGAACTTGTAGTCAATGGGACTCTGTATGGGTATAACATTATACCAGAATTAAAAAAGAAAAAAAAAAGCAGTATCAAGCCTTCAGATATTTGAGTACTTGGAAAACATGAAATGTTATTCATAAAGCAGAGTAGCCATTAGTTGGATATCCTCTTCAGGCATTTATATTATTTAAGCTTGCACTGTTTACAGCATGTAAAGTAGATATGGTAATGAGATACTTTTTGGTTATTTATAAACATGCACAGATCTGATTTGATGAGGAGGGGAGTTGTAGTAGTAGTAGCAGTAATGAAAGAAATTTAGGACTACATTCTGCTCCGCTGCTCATGGGTATAATTGAACTGGAGTAAATGGAATTACATTTACACATTACAGATTTAATCCATTAAATCAAAAAAGAAGGAACTGAGAAAAGATTTCATGAATCAACTAGTCTCCTGCAGAAATGTATTACAGTGTTAATTTTTATCTGTGCTGTAGCCCATTTCTTAGTTTGCTCTGTTTTTGTTGTTGGTTTAATTTTCTTTAAATCTTAGATTTATATACTTGAATAAGGGTTTCAGTATGTAGCCTTAAGTTTTCTGAGTCTTGTTTTCCTATCATTCTGTTAGTAAGCAAGTATTTCTTTAAAGTTTGTTATGTACTATGAAAGTTAGAAATAAAGCAGTTGCTTAATCTGGTATTCAACAGAATCGAGAGATTTGTGTCAGAATGGAAAAGGAGTTGCTAGGTTTGCTTTTGTTAACAAGCAATAAGAATTCTGGTGGCCAATGAATAGCTATTAGAGAAATTGTTCAGAGTATTCAGATATAAATTGATAATTCTGTTTGCAAATTTCTTTCTTAGGGTGCAGATTTATCCCACGTATTTTGTACCAAAGATGCAGCAACTGTAATAAAGTCATATAGTCCGGAGCTGATTGTTCATCCAGTTCTGTAAGTGACTTTTTGTGTAAATGAACATGTTAATGTTACTAGATTAAATAGGTCAGTGTGATAGTTCACTGGTTTACATTACTTCTCTTCCTGAACCCTGTGGCAGATGATCTAGCAGCAATAAAGATGACTGTGTTTTCATTTTTTCATTTAAGAACACACAGAGATTCTGGCATGTTAAAGCCATTTGTCGGGGTGGGGTGGGGAGAGGGGGGTTTAATTATTAAAACACAAATTTTAAAAAAGGTTAAAAAGATTTTGCTTTTTTGCCAGTTGCTGACATGTGTTTGTGATTATAAGGCACCTAAATGAGAGCAGTGGCACAATCCAGAAGTGAGGATGATACAAGTTAGCATTTTAGAATCTGGTTTTGAAAAGACAGAATAATACACCCTTCAAACATCTTCCTTCTCATTGTTTTCTAATAGTCTGGGTTTTAACATACTGAATTACTATGTGAGAAACTGTTTTAACTTTTTGTGATTTTTGTAAGCATATATTTGGATATGCTAGGCAGATCTGTTCCTGGGTGGAAGTAGCTACTCTGATCTGAATGTGTAAAACTCATCTTAGACCCCAGGCCAGATCCAGATGGTGGAGGCATTAGCAATGGCTGTGACAGTGTTGTTCTGTGACTTGGATGTGGCCTTTGCCCTATGCTTTGTAAGATGGGGAGCTGGAAAGTGGGACTTTAGTTCTCACAAGCTGGGAGAGATGGTTTTGCCTGCCTGTGAAGATGTGGGCCAGAAGGAGTGTGTGGCAACCAGAGGCAGAGCTGGTACTTGGCAGAGCCTGTTTATGGCCAAAATGCAGAATAAATAGTGGTAGAAGGTGTGAACTGGGCTGCAGAGGGAAGGTTATGAAGGTAGGTTATAAAGGTCCAATTCACTGAAACACAAGCACTAAACAGCTCTGTGCTTTCTCAGCTGCAAAGCATACTGGGCTGAATTTTAAGGCACCACACCACAAGGCCTTGTGTATCTTCATCTGGTTGTCTGACCCATCATCTTGGTGAATGGAGGCAGTGGGCCTGCTCCCCTTTCAGGGGGGGCAAGGGTGGCTGGAAAGGAGCTGAGTCACAGTAGCTATGTTTACAGAGTCCCTAAATATCCATGTTTCTAATAGTAACTTTCCCATTTACTTGGGGATTCCATTAAAGGTGTTATCACACCTTTAGAAAGGACTTGCTGATTTTCTTAATGCATTTCCAGGTTAGCCTCACTAATATTGCTGCAGAATAGAGGGTTTCTTGTTTGGGAATTGAAGAGTGTGCATGCTGCAGAATTTTGGTCTTTTATGCAATGGAGCACTTGCGACCCTTAAAATCTTTTCATTCTGTAAGCTTGTTTCCGGGAAGCAGAAAGATGTACTTCATACACAGCACTCAGTGACAGACACATCTTTAGTAGGTTTGGAGTGTTGTAGCTATGATGATCAAAGGAATGTGCAAGAATGGAGGGCATTCTTAATGATATTTTTTGATTGGATCAACTGAATACTTAGGAAAGATGTTAGACAAGCTTTCAGCCACAAAGTGCCCTTTCTCTGGTCAGCCTATCTATCATTTATCCCAACAATACAATTGGTTCAGTAAAAGATATCACTAAAAAACCCCTTGCTTCTGAAATATCTGTGTTAGTCAAAATGTGGTGAACTGAGATTTGAGACTGCAGGGCTAAGTACAGTAAACAGTCAAAAAGCCTAAGGTTGAATCGATTCAATCTTCGCAGGTTAATCTAAACTGCATAGATTGAGCTGATATGCAAGTGAACAGACATTTGCTTTTGATTCTGGAAATGGAGTCACATGCCTGTAGTGGCTCAGACCAAAAGCTGGGCAGGTGCTACAGCATGCCTCCCTGCTCAGCTAGAGCAGACAGCTTGGGCCAAGAGTAGACATCACCCCCTGCCAGGGGGGTTTTACATGAGAGGTGCAAAGCATCCTGGGATGCTGGGGGACTGTGAGTTAACTTGAATCTGGAACGGATCTGGGACAGAAATTCAATAAACTGATTTTCACCTAAATCAGTTAAGTCTGATACTACATCCACCCAGGTTTAACTTAAACCAGTTCTGGTGATTTTTGTGCATTGAACTTCTGTTACTGATTTGAACTGGTTTCTGATAACTTAGGCTGGTTTATGTGTGATTTCTGTCCCTAGCCCAGCAGTGCATTCAAATGACTTGCATTTCAAACAACTTTAACCTTGTAGCTTGTGAATGCTACAAGTTGGTTCAAGCTTGGTTACCACACATTGGGACCAAAGTGTGGTTAAAGCAAGGTTCCATCTTAAGCTGTGTTTAAAATGATGATGATATAAATAATAATAATAAGGATGATGATGATTTATGCACAAAATTGTTAGCCTTGGTAATGTTTATGAAGTGGCCAGGGCCTTCTGACATTGACAACTTGACTTGACCATTCCCAAACAGTATGTTCCCTGATAGAATCCTATTTGTAGTTTTAGATGAGTCATGGATCCATAGGTGGATCCAGGATTTTATAGAGGGGGGTGCAGAAGCTGCTACACGGGGGTAGTTGCAACCAGCCTTACCCCTTTCCTCTGGGGAAGGCAGACCATGCTATGGGGGCGGCAGCAGCTGGGGGCTTTTTTAAGTCCCTGAATTGGGTAAGAATCCCTCCCTTTGGTGTTCATGCCCTTCCCCTCCATATTCAGTGGAATTTCCCCTCTCAGACCCCCCCCCACCCCCTCCCACCTTGCCCTCAGTAGTGAAGCCTCTGGGTGCAGGGTGGGCTGTTTCAGCTGCTCCAGACAGGGCTTCAGGAAATGGCTAGGTGGGAAGCTAGGTTCAGGGTAAGAAAGTGGCAGCAGGAGGTGGGTTCCCCAACCCTGTGCCTGCTCACGGATGGCAGGGAACAGACAGGGAGGGGGAGCCTACCTGCTGCTGCTGCTGTCCCAAGCTGAGCCTGGCTCCCTGTTGCAGCCCAGTTGGAGCAGCTCTAGAGCACCTTCTGCCTCATAGGTCAGGCTAGGACAGTGGCAGAAGTGGATGGGGGACAGGGGATTGAGGGTGGCAGATAGCTCCTGCTGAGCTGGAGGGAAAGGGAGGGGGTGTTGAAGGGAGGAATTCTTACCTTCTGTGGGGACTTAAATATAAGTTGTTAGCTGATGCTCCCACAGTGTACTGTAGTCTGAAAAGGGGTGAGACTGCACAATTGTGTCTGCTCTAGATCCATTGCTTTGTGAACATCCTCTTGCTTATAGCCTCAGTTGGGGATTGGTTTCTATGCATCTAGGCTACACACACACACACACACACACACACACACACACGTTGTATGATAAAATAATCCATAATGTGCACATTATATTCCCCCCCAAATGGGAGTGCACATAGATTTCACTTGGGAAATATTTGTATTTTAAATAAAGGATTTTCAAATTAGTCATTTTCCTTTTCTGATTGAACGTGAAATATAACTGTAATGCCGAATTTGTGACTCGATGACAGCTTTCTTATGAAAACAGTTAAGATTTAAGATTTATGGAAGAAAGAAATTACAGTGAGAAGACTCTTGTTAATACATTTTCAGAATCAGGAAGATAGAGCCAGTTATAAACAAAATACATTTCTTGTTTTTAAGGGTTTTTTCAAGCTTTACCACAATGTAGCATTTTTGCAGCTGTTAATGATGTGAAACAAATTTGTTAATTGTTAACCATTGGGCTGACTTCCAATTGAGGTCAAAATGTTTCAAAGTCAAGACAAGCAGTCTTGAAAAAGACAGAATGTCTAAGGATGGGGGTGGAAGGGAGAAAAGACTTGGAGAGATCTGGCAGAAGGCTGGCTCTGCTCCAATATTACTCAGCTATTATCTTTGATTAAAAGAGTCTATCATCTAAAAAAAATCACATATAATATCATATCTGTTCACCATTTGGATTAGTAATCATCAGGGATCCTAGTTTTCTCTGATAAAAAATAATCCCCAATTTTCAGATTAAAAAAAGCAACTCAAAATCTACATTTTTCCATGATTAAAATGAAACACCACTATATATAGATATATAGACACAGATATTGGTGGTATTTCATTTTAATCATGGAAAAATGTGGATTTTGGGTTACTTTTTAAATCCAGAAATTAGGGATTTTTTTAATCAGAGAAAACAGGGAATTAATTGCTTTAGACTGTCTCCCAAAAACTGTATCAACATATTTATGCTCTCTTATCAAATCCATTAGACCTGCTCTTTTATTTACTAAGAAATATCTTAAATACAGTATTATAAACTCCAAACAGAAACAAATTATTAATGTTATAGCAATGCAAGAACCACATGTTACTTCAAGAGTGTCCTGCTTGTATGCCCACTGCAAATACGGTGGATGTATGTGCTTGAAACAGAGCCCAGTGACTGTTCAGTGTTCAGGGTTGCAGCTACACTGTTAACCCAAACACTGCTGCCAATTTGACAGCAGCTGTGAAAGGGTTAATACTAGCTTTTGCTGACAGCAGAGTGTTTTGTGCCTCTGTGGTCAGGACTGAGCCATGACTCTGGAAAAATCTTTTTTTTCTCTTCATTTTACCTTGGGGTTATGTTGTATGCAAGAGAATACTGTATTCTTACCTTACTGTCCTTCCTACCACGCAAAGGAAAAAATTAGATGTCTTGTAGGATGGGATTTGGAATGACTTTCCTTTTGGAGTCCCCCATCAGATTCCTGAACACTTCCTAGGCTACTGTGATGGAGTTCCAACCCTGGATCTCTTTATTAATATATTTCCTGAGCTGCAGGCATTGCTATTAGCTCCAGGTTCCCTGACTTGGCTTTCACTTTTTTTTGAGTAAGAGAAAATAATAGAGGAATTCTTCTGTTGTAAAGGAATTGGAAAGACCACAGTGGTATGTCAGAATGCTTTTGATGCTATGTATTCCTATTTCAATTCTCTATGTTTATTTTGTGAGTAATTTGAAGGTGTTTGCACACCTAAGAGTGCTAATATTGTGCAGCATCCCCCAGCACCCTTAC